TTTGGTGATCGTTTGGCTTCGTTTTTTATGTGTCTATTTATTATATATTATTATCATGTAGATCGGAAAAAATTTCAATTTTACACCACCTAAATACAGTTCATAGAATGCATTGAAAATACTCTTAAAACACCAACCAAGAAGTTAAAAGATCTCAAATTTTAATTCCTAATCATACCATTAAAACATTTTAGTAATATATTTTCTTCAATTCTATATAATACTGTCAATTAACTTATTAACTATTTTTGTCGTCTAAGCCTTTGTTTGATTTTCATTTTTTCCAAAATACATTTTTTCTCTCTATTCTTTTCAATCACACATTTTTCAATAAAATAATATTACATGCAAAATTAAAACTTTTCTTTATTTTTTTTCATCAATCTACCATTTCAAAATGCACTTAAAAAAAAAAAAATTGGCACTCAAACATGCCCTGAGTAAGGATTAGACAATTTATTAAGTCATTTCAATGTATTTGTCAGTTAGTCACTAAGCCTCCATTTAGAAAGAATTTATAAACGGTTTAATGTACGAATAAGTAGGAATGAGTGATGTATAAGTAAATAATATTTTTGGATCCACCAAAATGTATGTTTAAAACTGAAATTCGACCATTTATAAACAATTTATAAATTTTGTCAATCGTAACTTCGGTGAGAAAAGAAATGTCTCACACACGAAAAAATGGAAATATATACATGGCTCATGGGCCAATAGGCCCAAAGATGGTAATACTTCCATGATGAAGCCTTTCAAATCCCAAAGATAGGAGAAAAAAATCAGAAAATAATTGAACGATGAACTATACGGCTCAAGTGGCCGCTACAAAAAGAAAGCCGACTCATACCTAGTATAGTGATAAGTTGAAACCCCTCGCCCTCGCCCTCGCCCTCGCCCTTCGGTTTTTGAACCCGAGGGGCAATTGTAAAGCTAGGAGAAGACAAATAAAGCTATTCACAGAAGCTTAAGACTTGAGGAAAGCAAGTCAGTACTTCATTCTTCATCTTTGTATTGTAAAAACAAAGACTCTGGGCACATTATGTATATCACTTGTTGGACCATGAGGTTCAGCCCTAACTGTTAAAATTTCAAGAAGGATAGTAAGTAATCCTCACAAGAACATTCTTTGACAACATACCCTCATTTTCTACTTAATAGTTCCACTCGAGATCACAGATATTAAATGTCGAAGTCAAGAGCCACAGATTTATTTTACAAGGACTTTCCTAAAAGGAAGAGCGCCTTCATTAGTAACTAAGATATAGAGTTACCCGCTTAACGTTAGCATTTGGCAGTTTAAGTCTCCAATCTTTCTGTTTGCGGCTCATTGTCCTGCCTTTTGCTGAAGGGTTTCTGTTTTCCTTCACATCTGCCATCTTCCAGACACAGCTTCCCGATTCTGTTTCAATGGAGTCAAGAAAGTACACTCCAGTCTTTTCTGAGCATTTAGCGTCTGAATCTTCCATATAACTTACCACCATTGGCATGTCTTTGAACCTCGACAAGTCATCTGGTACTCTCAGTAGCCTATCCGCACCTGGACTTGATACCTCCAGAAGCAAACATAAGTCAATCTAAGTGTGGAAAAAGGAATGTAAGAGTGCTTTGATTCATAGTATTTTCATTTCAAGAGGCATGAATTGCAAGGAAATTTAAATCGCCAAACCAAAACAAGTGAGCATAGAAAATCTTATAGTAAAAGGCATGAGGAAATCAAAATGGTCAAAACAGAAAATGTTGGCTATTTGCTCCATTGATATCTCATTCTATAAGGCACAATGCAACATATACTTGCAACCCTGGAAACGATAGATAAGTTTCAAAAAAATTACTTCAAGAGCCAAATCGTCAGGTATTTCTCCTGTGGCACCTACTTCATCCAATCTTTTCTTATATTGGCGGCTGAAAGATTCAATCTCCTCCATACTGGGACAACCATATCTGATTAGGGAGAGACAAGGAAGTAGAACATGACATAGTTGAAAATCGTATCAGTAAATATAAGAATTTTTTTCAGCTGCAAGAACATGCTAAAGAAATTATGGCAGAGAATCCTGAGGACGCTAGTACTTTAGAATTGAGAAGCACAAGTCCAATTCAATAACTCTAAACCAAGCAAATGATCAAAACGATTGTGTAATTTCCATGTATGCCTACTGGTATTGCATGTTTTTCTTATGGAAGAGTTCCAACAAAATTTAAATAAAAAAAATTAATAACAAGTATAAGATAGTAGTTTTACCGAAGACCCATATAAATTGCTTTAATTAATATTATGAGACCAAATAGTCAAAACTCTGCACATTTGGAATTTCCACTGGCCCAAAGGTTACAAAATAACTCTGAAACATAGTTGGAAGAAGAAGAAGAAGCAACTGTCCATCTCAAAGTTGCAGGTACAAAGAAGAAGAACAGACAACTGACCACTTCTGGAGTTGCATTTAGAAACAGTAAGCTAATCAAGAGACCTGTCTTGTACAATTTTTATGCTTGTGTATATAGTTTGTGATAGAATGTTCAATCAATATCGTATCTAGGATTAATAAAGATTCTATCCTGAATTTAGTAGACATTTCTAAGAAAATATAACATGTTAACATGATTGAGGAAATAACGAAATAACAGATACTGGTTGTTTATTATCATTAATTTATGCCACAAAACATAGGATGAAGAAAGTAAATCTTATAACTCAATAAAATAAAAAACTACAGGTATTTAGTTAAATATAATTTTGAGAGTGCGAGAATTACTGATTTTAGTGTATTTAGTTCAAAAGTACAAAAATCTAATCCCTGCAATGGGGCAAAGAACTTACTCATTTGAAAACTTGTCTAATCTCACGTAAATGTATCCTCGAAAAGAAGTTTTAAATGAATAGAGCTCCATATCATTAGCAAACTGCAAAAGGACCTCTCTGCATATGGCTAGTGCTTGTTGACCCCAAGGGCAATTTTTTAGAACCACTCCACCACCATCACCTCCATCACCAACCTGAACAGGACATATGAGGATCAAATATAACATGATGTGAATGGTCAAACCTAAATATTCAGCAACCGGAATTAAAACTTTAGATCCGTATACCTCAGGCTCAGCATCATCCTCTTCTTCCCAAGAATCAATAGGCTCCACCTCTTCATTGGAGTCATCTTGATCTTTAACATAGAGATGACATGACCAAAGACAAATGAACATTAAAAACTGAATATGGATAGCAGGCAAAAATCCAAGTTCCAAGGGACCATGACAACCCCTTTTTATTTGGAAAGCTCTCCTAGGCATGAACACACACTAAAAACATTAATGTGAAAGCCAGCACCGACTTCAATGTAGCATCACCACAATACCATAGGTCTTTTATAACAAAAATCTATAAACACAAGCATACAAACCTGCGGAACCTACATACATGATGAAAAATGCATGTTCTTAATTTTTAAGGAAAAAAAAATTCTGCTATAAAATGTCACAAATTAAGTTGTGCATTACAAAATTAAGATATGATGGAGACATTAATTTTCGACTTACTTTTTATTAGAAGATGACCAAAACATTTATTGTTCACAACATGCAATTTAAAAAGTAAACGTAGAACTAGAAACAAAAGGTAGTAGCAGTTAAATAACCGCCAAAACCAACATCAAAATCACCAAACAGGCAAAATAACAAACAGATGGTGAGCAAATCCCAAACATAAGGATGAAACAGAGTGCTTACTGTTAGCAGAATCTTCGCGTGTATCCTGGGTGATTTCCTGAGAAGAACTCGTGTTTAAGTATCGAAGAACTGTAAAACAATCGAAATTGGATGTGGGTTTTGCATAAATACTCCTAGATTTAACTTTGTCACATGTGTTCAACAAGCCAAGTATTTTGGGTTTTTCTATTGGAAGATTATGAATAAAATGAGAAAGAGGACAAGAAACTAATAACATTCGAGTTCTACATTTGTAAAACGAGCGAATGCTATTAATAATGTAATTTTTCATCTTTCTTCCTGGAAAGGGAGAGGGAACTATTAGAATTGGAAAATGCTTGATAAAAATTTATATCTTTCCAATGGATGGGCACCCACCCACCTATTTAAATATTAATTGAATTAGGTAAAATGATTAATAAAAGAAAATAATCCTCCTAAAAACGTTTTCATTTGCGATATACCTCTCTACTTATTGGAAATCGTAGAAAACCCCTCTATTTGAAATATTTTGTGCCAAAAACATGCAACATGATTTTCCGTTAAAAGGGTAAAAATGTCAAAATTTAAAAGTAATAATTGCAATTTTAGTATTCAAACTTTTTATTCTTTTACAAATTATACTCAATTTTTTTTATATATATACTATCCACAATCCCCAAACCTTTAAGACTTTATTTTCCACCCCTCGACTTCTCCAGCACTTTAATTGCTCGTTCCAAAGCAGACACATCCCCCTCAAACCTCCTCAAATAGTAGTCAATCACAGTGACAACATGCAAACTCATTGCCAAATCAAGCTCGGATCTCTCTCAACCGCACACCTATCAAAACACTTTGTTGCCCTTCAAGCATAGTTAAGGGCCTTGTTCTACATCTCTACTCACCAAGGTAATCTCTCTATGATCGAGTTTCAGCTTTGGAGCTGAGATTTGACCGGCTAATGAGAACATAGGAGAAGGAGAAGAAGATAGAGGAGAGAAAGTACACATGGACTGCGAAGATTAAGAGTCCAGAGAAAGAATGGGTTGATACGAAGTATAAATGGACGATGGAGATCAAGGATTCCAATGATCGCAAAAAGGTTTTGGAGAAGAGTTACAAATGGACGACGAAGATTAAAGGAAAGGGCTGAGATTCCCCAATTGATCGGACGTAGATGATTAAAGTGTCAAATGCAAGTGACAATAGTGGATCAGAGAAGAAGAAGAACGATAAGAAAGCGAAAGAGAGGACAAAGTCGGCGGTGCCCACAACTCGCATTGTTGAAATTGAAGAACCATCTGATCACGGGGCATTGTTTTAAGACAGGTTGGTATAATGCAAGTTGAACTACAGATGTATATAAGAGAGAATTGGTAATTAGAGAAGGATTAATGGAGATTAATGGGGTTTAATTACTTAATTAATAACATTAATACATGGTACCATTCTCAACTATTTGCTAGTGAAGGTGATGGCTGATTGACTTTAAATAGATGTTGAGCCAAGGGAGTAGATCTAATGTAACTGCAACTTTTGGCTTAAGTTACAACTGGTTGTACTTTTGACCTTTATTTCTAATTAGATAAAGGGAAAAAAGATTAAATGTGGTGGTGCGGAAAATAAATTTTTAAAGGTTTAGGATTGTGGTTGGTATATAAAAAATTTTGGGTATAATTTGTAAAATAATAAAAAATTTGGATACTAAAATTGCAATTACTTTTAAATTTTGAAATTTTTACTGTTTTTAATGAAAAATTTGATGACGGAGGGATTTTGCACAAAATGTTTCAAAATAAAGGGGCTTTCTTCCATTTTCAATAGGCAGGTGTTTATATTTTAGGGGATTTCTACGAGCACGTCTTCTTTCACGGCTTGAGAGGAGAAACAGTACATCCGCATCCGACGCCAACGTTAAAGATTTGAAGAAGAATTTTCAATTTCTTATGCGTGGTAATCTTTTAATTTCTAAAATTTCAGTTTTTAATCAATTTTGTAAATATAATTGATAATAACGTTTAGTTATAATGGAAAATTTGTGTAAAACGTAGAATTTCGTTCTTCTGGGATTTCCTAATCACAGTCGTTTCCTCAGCTTAATGAAATCTTGTAGCAAAAATTTGAAGTAAAAAATCTATTAAGCAAGCTTCTTATTATGTTTTTCTTTGTTTTGCTTTATCAATCAAGATTTTGCACTGTTATTTGTAAGATTCTGATCAATCCATGATGCAGCCTGTTTGATTGGAACCAATGTTTTGAAAATGGGATCGGACATTGATTGGGAGAAGAAAAAGGGCAACGGTTAAAGGGTGGAATGGAGGTTAAACTGAGGTCGACGGAAATTAAATTATTGGTAATAGAGAGAGAGAGAGAGAGAGAGAGAGAGAGAGTTGCCAGGAAATAAAATCCTACTCCACCTAAAAAAAATATTTTCCTTATTTTTAAGAAAAATATGGTCACGTAAATGGAAATAAATATCAATCGAACAGTACAAAAGTAGGAATTTGGGTGGAAAAAAAGACATTTTGCATGAAAAATATTGGCAATCAAAAACACTCTTAGTTCAGAAAACTAAACTAGTGTATGTGCCTTGTATGGGTTTTCTTGTTCATTTATTTTCTTTTTTTATTTGAGCCCATGAACCTATGTTTTTTATTGCAGATTATAGTTTTTTAAAATGATAGAAGGCACCCGTTTTAGGCTCAAAGGGTGGCAGCAGGCCGCCGTTGCACTTGGATCAGCCGTTGGGGCTTTACTAGATCCAAGAAGAGCAGATTTGATAGCTGCATTGGGAGAGAACTGGAAAGCCTGCATTCGAGAGGGTTCTCGAGAGGATGAAGAGAAGTCCTGAAGGCAGGGTAAATCTCTTGATACTCTATAATGATATTTTACAATTTATTTATGATAATTGTTTGTGTAACTCTTTTTTGTTCTATTTAATAGTTTTTATGAGTATATTACTTGGTATGGTAATGTTATTCTTGGTGTCTTTGACGAGTATAGCTTCATCTCTCTGTCATATATGCTACTGAAGTTGTATTTCGGGGCTTGGTCATTATGCAGTGTGTATTTAACAAAGTTAATACGTGGCTCGGTGAGAATTAAATATGCTGTAGCATTTTATGAAATCCACCAGAAAGTAAGATATTGAATGGATTAAGTAGGAGATATCTATTGAAACATACCTGATACCACCTTATTGCTTACTGAAAGAAGGTTCCTTCTCAAATTACACAAATTAGAGCTTTTGGAATTTATGAAGCTGGTTTCCCTAAATGTAAAAATGGCAATAAAATCCTTCTGACCATATTATACCAACTACATCACTAAGTAGACCAATCAATATTTTTAATATAAATCATGAGAAATTAGCATGACTAGTTCTTAACACCAGTTTAGGTGGCAGTATTAGTGACATTAAATTACACGTTCAGTTAAATGAATTATATAATTCAATATTTAATTGAACCTATTATATATTGCCACATAGATTGAAGTTCTAGCGCTACTGGTTCTATATAGTATTTTTCAATTAAAAATGATTAAAATGACCAGCTATTTCTATATTAATTCTGCTATAAGGATAGTCATGTTATTTCTTTTCTTTTTGTCAATTTGTACGCTATGTGCCATGTTGGCAACTTAAGTATCCTCGAAGCATCAGCTGGCTTTGAACAACATAAAATGCATTATGATTGACATGCAATACCTTGTATTTTCACTTTATAGTTTCTAACTTTTTTGTGATCGATAAACTCATTACAGAAATTAATTTGTCTGTCGTCAGCCGACTTTGCTCTCTGAAGCATAATCTTTTACCTGGCAAAATAGCTCCTCCTTTAGATATTGTATGCATGTGGTAACGAAGTCAAATATTGTTATTTTGTAATCCTGAATTTTTGTTCAAGATTTTATTTGCAAGCATTTTATTCCAATAAATTTGGTGCTTCGCAATCTAGGCTGTGCATGGTGACACTAGGCAAGAATGTCATCCAATTTACATAACTAGCCCATTAGAACAAGTGATTCTTGAACTATTGACCTCGAAGACCTCTTTATAAAACTTGATATATTTTCGACTCCACATGCACTGACATAGTTACGTTTCTCATTTAGCTTCAATCATGAATTTTTTGTTGGTCTAGCTTTACATTATTCTGTGACTTATCGAAAGTTGAAAGTTATGCTTGTTAACAAATAAAATATTGTTTCATTGTACGAGATGAACTATTGTCTATTGCAGGCAGTACTGTCAGAGCACCCTCGCGTCATCTCCGCTAATGTGGGGCATGCATGGGATCTACCACCTAATACTTTTGGTGCTGCTTATGCAAAATTTATGGGATCGAGGAAGTTCTCCCCCGATGATCGACCACCAATCCGCTTCATGGAGACAGAAGAAGTAGCATATGTTGCTATGCGTGCACGGGAGGTTCATGACTTCTGGCACACCCTATTCGGACTTCCTACCAACTTGATAGGTGAATCTGCACTAAAGGTTATAGAATTTGAACAAATGCTACTTCCTATGTGTGCCTTGTCTGTCATAGGGGGTACTGCAAGGTTCACTGAGAAGCAAAGGAGATTGTTCTATAAGCATTACTTCACATGGGCCATCCAGGCAGGTATGCAATGTTCTGACTTAATGTGTATTTATTATGAGCGTCACTTTGATGAGGACTTGGAAGATGTTCGGCGAAAATGGGGAATTATTCCTGCTCCTCGTCCTACACCGAATGCAGCCTGTATCAGATGATTACCTTCGAAAAGAGGAATTCAATTGTTTGTCCTGTACACTTACAGGTTGTTCAGTAGGATGGGCTGGATAGTAAAGAAGTAATAGAAGTTAAGATTTGGTCCATTGTATTGTCGAGTCTCTTCCAATACTAGAAGAGAATCCTTTCCTTCTGTTGGTTGTGTGCGTTAAGACAATTTTGGATAATAACCGAGCATGTTTGGAAGCTTGAAATCATGTTAATTTCCATGAGTTATTCTGGCAACTGATATGAATATTAGAAATGTAAATTTGGGAATTTAACAAGAAAGCATTAGTAATACTTTCCCTTTTGCAAGAGGGAATTATTTTACGTCGTATTTAACAGTATAATATACAAAATTTCAACTTTTTTCATGTATCTGAATATTGCATCAAACATGTATCTGAATATTGTGCATCCAATATCTTTCTCATTTTCATGGACCTTCGTATTTACACCGATGTGATTTTTGATACTTCTATTAAGAGTCTGTGTAGCGCTTGAGGCTTTGAAAAAAATGGCGAATGATCTGAGCCTTTTATCTGAAAAACTTGCTTTGGCTGATTTGATTTGATCATGGCCTCTTGAAGGGGGAGAGGAATGGCAAAATCTTCTTCTGTTTTTATATAAAAACTTGGGATAGAGCCATAATTTGCTGTAGAAAGGGAAATCTTGTCTGCTAATGGTGCAAAAGGGACTTGCCTCATTGATACTGAAGCTAATGCGATGTCCTGGATCAAGAAAAGTTGGAAAACTCGAATAAGATGAGTCAAGAAGGGGGGGAAAAGTACTATAAATTCATCAATTGGACAATATAATGATAAATACCTTTGCAGATGTTCTGTTAAATAAGAAGTCATCTAGTAATGATTTGTCTAAATCAATAGCAGTCGGTGGGTGGCTCTTCCCATTTGCATACGAAAACTTCCAAGCGCGTTGGTTTAGATCATTTAAGCACGACTGCACAGCATAAACAATTAGCCGAGTACTTTAAAGAGAACTTTTAAGCACAATCAAATATGTTCTCAGCTCAAAGAGACGTAGGAATCGATATGACAGGCGGAGAAAAATGCAGTCAAGTCTCTTATTTTATATCATACTAGGTGACGTGGCACTTCCATAGAAATATTAAGGATGAAGATGCAAACCTTTTGAGAGAAGACATCAAGAATACTCTGCCCACTATTCAACATTGCTGCTGCAACAAAAATTGCTTTAGAAACTTTTGCTGGATACAACTCCATTGCATATGAAACACAAGCTCCACCAAAATCATGTCCAACCAAAATCACCTGAATTACAATTTTTTTTGCTTAATATTTGAAATTGCTAGAAGTGCACAGTTGAATAAAACCAAGAAATACAAATACTATAGGATCCATTTTGAATAGTCGTAGGTTGTGTTATTAAAGCATTCATGAGCGAGCACGTGCACATGCTCGTGAAAAGGAAGTATAGGAAGGAGGCAAGGAACATACCTTGTTTCCATCTTCAAGCTTTGCTAGAAAATCAGTAAGAGGTTTAGCATATTCTGCTAGAGTTGTGATGCAATTTATGTCACAAGAATTGAGTCCAGAACCAGTGAGCTCTATGGCTTCAACTTCATGTTTGCTTTCTTTCAAAAGGGCTATGATTTTATACCAACACCATGCACCAAAACCACCCCCATGAACTAGGACAAAATGCATCTTGTCAGACTCCTCAGTTCCTACATCCTAGAAAACAGAAACATGCAAAAAATTAAGTACTAAAATGACAAAAAATTAATTACTTTGATGTAAATCTAAATGTCTTACAATAGCTCAAACTACAAGAAAAAGTAGTTTAAATTTGAGAGAGACAAAACTTCAAATTAATTATTATTATTATTATTAAGTAGCCCACAAGAATTGTTGGTAGCCAACAATTTTCCAACAAAATAAGTCATTGAATTATTAATGTTCCACATAAATTTCATACCTTCTTAAAAGTCAACAGGCTACTACCTAGCCTTGTATTGTGGTTAATCAAGAATGCAATTTGCCTTGATCATCAAAATTTCATCTAAATTCTATACAAATTCTCCATACTAAATCAATTCAATTTCATAGAAACAATATTGTCAATTGTACCATTAAAAGATGGTATAAGTTAAGGGTTCCTCCACAAGGTTCGTCCCCAAAAGGGGATGGACAATAGCTGAATATTTATGCAATACCAGTTGTTGGTTCTGAGTGAAGGAGGAGGCTATTTTTCAAGGATGAAATGAAAAGAAACCTTATTTTTTAAAACCTTGATAGAAGAAATCCTCTGGAGGGAAAAACAGACATATTCAGCACACAAATGAAGAAAATCAGATAGCAAGACACTAATATCATTATCATTTTTTAAATTAGAATGAAATTAAACAATGCTTCAAAGGAAGTTAAAAAAAGAATTGAGATAAAGAAACTCAGAAAAGGCATCATAAGGTTCATATTAAATTCATGTGACAACAGAACCTGGTGAATGATCTGCAAAGCCTTGGAGCTGGAATCCGAAACCGAATAAGATCTCTTTTGCAACTTCTTCAGTTTGTTTGATGATGGTGGAGGATGCTTAACAGAAATTGAACGGTCCAGATTAAGAAGATCACCATTTTGCATGTGATGATGATACAACATAGATGCAACTAGAGCTTGCTGTTTGATGTAAGAATCATCAATAATTTCTCCTTTTTTTGAAGAAGAAGATGCTAATTTTCTTGATTTTTTATTATCAGAATTGGATATCCATGGAGGAAGTTGATCTGATGATGATTCTTTGGATATTTTTTGAACTGTGGGAGAGAAACATGCAAATGAATTTCCCATTCTTATTGGATGAAAGTCAAATAAACTGTAATGTGTGTAATGTTAATATATATTTATAATGAGAGAGAGAGAGAGATTTCGCATGAATTTTCAAGCTTTACCTTATCTATGTGTTTGTGTCAATTTTCTACATTTCAAAACGTCCCGTTAAAAATTCTGTTAAATATTGGACGAATGACTATCGCAATGACATAACTAAAAAGGTAACGACATTATTGTATAAATATCATTTCAAATCATGTCGTCCATTCCGTCGTTGTATTTACCTAACCAACGGTTAAGTTTATCCAAAGATGACGCTACAAAACTAAAACTACTGTTTTTCTTCTAGATGGCTGTTAGACAATGCCAATTATTATTATTTTTTATTTTTTATTCCTTTTTTTATTTTGGGGGTTGGGGTGGGTTGGCACTCTTATTTGTGGGTTGAAAAGTCATTGTTGAAAATTATTTTGTATCTTGTTGAGACTTTTAATAAACAAAAATAGTGGTTTGTCCAATCGGTGATTCCAAGGCCAAAGGAGACCATAGAAATTTGACCAAGACCAAAGGAATATGTATGCCAAATTTGAAAAAACTTCGAGGTTTGATTTGCTCATTGCCTCATACAGAATCCTTTTCTATAATTAAACAAATGCTTTCATAAACATTCATGTGCGGACATAATTTCACCGATATTAGTGTTCACATCACATCAAACACTGAAGTCGTCGAACGCATATTGAAGGACATGAGCAAAGACACATCGAGCCCTTGTCATAAATTTTTAAATAGAAAAATTTTTAAATGAAAATATTTGTGTAAAAATTTGACTCTCCCTCCCACAAAAGTTTAGGGGTTGTTCTCTTTGTATTTAAGTTTTGAATTTTGAATTCATTTTGGATTTTGTGTTTTGAGTGTCCATTTTGAGATTTGTTGAAAATGTGTTCTTTTTGACATTTTGAAAACACTCAAAACGTGATTTGAAAATCTTGACTTGATTATAACTGAAAACACCTAAAATGACAAATTTGTCATTTTGAGTTTTCTTTGTAAATTTTTTACTTGTTTTCAAAAACGCGTTTTTGAAAATGGGAAAGAGAACGTGTTTTCACTGTTTTGGAAAATCGAAAACAGAAAACGACTTGAAAATAGTAAAGAGAACAGACCATAAGCTTCACGGTGAATTTTGATACACAAACATAACATGCTCATCCTTTTGAATATTAAAACCAAAGAATGAAGTCTTCTCTTTCTTTATCGTGAAGAAACTTTCATTTGATCAAACTCACTTATTGGCACCTCTCCTTCCATTAAGGGAGTGTTAAATGGGATAAATCGAGCCAGAACTTGGCTCGTCCTTGCCATTTTTTTATTTTTTTTTACTGAAATTACATATTTATCTCAATTTGACTGCTAACTCATGAGCGAGCGGCACACCCCTACCTCCCATCCTTTCGTAAAGATTAATCCCTATTATATTAAAAGAGTGAATCCGCCGAGTACTGTTCATTTTGAAGCTTTTTCGTTAGTCCAAATTACCACATATACATCATCTACTATTCATACCAACTACCCCTATCTGTCTCCCACTATTCACATGTGGGTTAAGGATAATTTGGAAAGATCATTTTTGAATTAATTTATATGCCTACAATTGTTGATTTTTTGTCGGGAAAAAAAGAAAATTGGTTTGCTCCGCATTGTGCGGAGCATTCAGACTTTATTTTTTTTAATAATACTGTGCAAACAATAATAATATACCATAAATTTCTATAAATAATATTAACCAAATTTATAAACACTTATTAATAATTTAATTCAAAAACAGGTCGATCCCCGTTGGGGGCGTTTCCCCCAAACCCCCATGAGGGGCCCTACCCCCTTGACCCCCGCGACCTGACCTGGGATAGATACACTTAGATTGTACAAAAATCGACGAAGATCAGGCCATCTGATGAGCCGAAAATCATTTGCAGCTTCAAATCTCATGACCCTAGAAAGATTGTGCTCACACTAGATAATCAAATGTCAAAGAAGAAGAAGTTCATCTACAGGTTCAAGATTAAGCCATCTGATTGATATTCCTAAATATAATACAGAAAAACTATAAATATTCTTTTGTTCTTGTGTTTAACTGTATTATGTAAATATATTTTGTTAAATAAAGTTCATTTAGCTAACTTCATTGAATATATAATATGCAGCACTAACATAATCTTAAAAATAACCACACCCGTGCATTGCACGGCCTAAAACTAATGTTAATAAAATACAGATTATGTCAATATATAAAGATGTAAAATATTCTCCTCTTTTTTATTTTCACTTTAATGGTATATTCACTACACAGTGCAACTGCACGGTAATTCGAACACCAATTGCATGTTTACTTACATAAATTAGATTGTACTCAACAATCTTAGATAAAATACCAAACATAGACCAAAGGTCTTCTAAATTTAATTCATACACATAAATATCTAGTAAGAATCCTCAAAAATTCTTGTAACAAAGAAACAAAATTATAAGTGAGAAATCACTGAAAGATGAAAGAGAACAAGAAGGTCGGGATAGATGAGAACGATATATTTATGGAGGGGCCAATCATCAAGTTCTTGCTAATTCTAGTATGCTACTACCGGTATGGGTACAAATGTATTTTATACCAGCAAATGTGATTAAAACGATTGCAGGAATTGCCCCGAGCAACAATTTCTCCGTCCCCTTACTCTTCTGCTTGATACATGCTGCCTTTACCGTAGGTGGTTCTTTTACCGACCTTAAAGCAGTCTGGAAATGCCTGTAATACACAGCTGTTGCGGACATGTCTTCGCTCAGAGCAATCATTCCAACTCTTCTGCAAAGGTTAGCCAGATCTGCCCCTGAGAAGCCCTTGGTGCCTTCAGCTATCTGTCGGAGATCAACTTCATAATCCAGTTTCGTGTTTAATTTACGTGTATGAATTTGAAGGATTTCATGTCTACCTTCTGAATCTAGCAGTGGGTCGTAAAGCACCTACAATATTATCATATCAGACCGAGTTATATAGAACTTCTAAACAACAAGCTGAGTCAACATATCTATTGTACGTTCAGTATGCAACATTGCCATCGCACAAGACTACAGGTCCGACAGGACTCTAACACAATGAACAAGATTTCATCCAATCCTTATCAGACGTGCTACTAGTGATTAGAGTCCACTTTAATTTTATAACCAGCAGCCACGGAAAAAGAAGATAATAGTGTATCTCGCATCTTATGTAGTTAGCAGCAACACAAGCAATAACAAGGAAGCTCATATATTTCACAAGGGGAGCTAAAATGGATTAAAAATTAAAGCTTTCACGATTCAGTAGCTTCATCATAGGGAATTACTAGTGGGGATGACAAAGTGCTTACTTCATCAAAGCATCCAGAACGCTTAAGAGCGGGGTAAATTGCATCCACGAGATTGGTAGAAGTTAGCAATGTAGATAGAATTTTATCCCCAACTCTTTAGTTACAGCTTGAACTTCCTCCTCTGCCATTGAAAAACCAAATTTGCAATAGGATTCAGGAAGCAGTTATACAAAGACATACCTCAATGGCATAATAAATGTAACTGAATTTGTACATAAGACAGTTCCAAGGAAACAAACAGAATGAAGCAAGGTTTTTTTTTTTTTTAAACATCAAAACGATAGCAAATCTTAAACTAAAGAAAATATGTGTGTTGGGATGGGGGTGGGGGATATCTTCCAAGTCCAATCCAAAACAGGATAAACAACTCTAAAACTAGCACTGAGAATAAGCATCAGATTGTCCAATCGAACAAGCTCAAACACTTCAACAGACAGATCGGGCAGCAGGATCATTCAGTGATAAGTCACTCTCATGAGTCTGAGCTGAAAACATGGTAATACAGAGTAAAATTTTGTACGAACCTTCAAAACCAACCACGTTCAAATAAATATACATGGAAAATTAGTCGAGAACATCATTACCAATCAACATTTCAACAAAACAAATTCAAGTTTAATGCAGGATGACAAAAATTCTCAGATAATTCACCTGGATAATTCACGGCGATTGTACAAATTAACAAAGAGGAATTCTCTATGTTTTTAATAGAAAACAATCATATTATTTATACAGTATAACAGATGCTCTTGAATTTCACAGCACAGAGAAACGTAACACATTAAAAAGTGAACATTTGAAATACCATGAGTTGCGAACTTGTATTCTTGTTAGATAGAGAACTAAAACTATCCAAATGAATGAACATCGATCACCAAAGTAAAATCAGCTCGAGAATGCTTGTTTGGGAAGTATGCAGTTGGAGTATTGGACCATCTGTTATGGGTATTGGCTTGGGGGGGTAAATGGTGATGAATGTAATATATATGACTTGGACTAATGTTGAGGTCCACGTCAATTGTCATTAACCCAAATAAGCTAAAACAGAAACAAAAAATAAAATAAAACCCACTTACCGTGACCCAGGCATTTCATCTTCCTCGGCTTCTTTGCCTCTACCGACTACAACTGCAACACCCGACGACAATGGCGATTCTAGCGGAGCCAGCACGAGCAAACACGCCCTCGCCGGGTGTTGGCTCCACCACTAGATGGATGTTTATAGTGTTATGAGTAAACTCGGACTCTTACAGGATAAGATTATATGCGTGGGGCCCTTCAAATGTCATATTGGTCGAGTTTATTGTACCATCGTCGTATTTGTATAACCTAAAAGTAAAATGTTTCAACTCCGTATTCAACTGAAAAACATACTGCAATTGAAAGTTTGCAGATGTTTCAGGCAATAATACAAACATGAATTATCTTATTTTTCACCCTAGCAAACTCCACTCATGTGATAGTTTGAAAATCATGACAAATTTTGCTTATAAGTCGATCACACATTATACCAAACTCATAACTTATTCTTATTTTTATAATCACATATTTTCCCAAAAAAAAAAATCATTTTTCACTTCTAAAAATCTCTCACCAACGAGAAACTTTGATAAAATTAAAATTAAAATAATTTTACTTTAAGCACCCAGTGAATTAAATTGCATAGCTGGCATACAAGCATTCTCCAAAACAGGGCCCTGGTTTTGTAGTTGTCACTTGTAATGAAAAAGCTTTCCTCTCAAACAGAACTCTAAATGCAAAATCTCAGCATGATTTGATCAATATAGAATGTGAAATGAACCGACATCTCTATCTCTATATCTATACGAGTATGTATTTATAATTTTATACACACTCTCTGTCTCTTTCTCTCTCTACTTAAATTCACACGCTTAAAAAGTTAAAATTCTTGATTCTCCTTTGAAAGGAAATTCTGTTTTCATTTTCTTGCATTGGGGTTTTCAGACATTTCTCGCGTTCTCTGCGGTTTTGGAGTTCGCGGAGGTAATGCCCAAAAATCCCCATCAATTTTTAAGTTACTTTTCATTGCATGCGTGAATATATTTATCTTTCCTTATTTTTTTTAATGTGCATACCTTGAATTTTTTTTATGCTTAAAGAATTTGGGTTTGAGTATTAGTAATGATCAAAGGAGACTTGAGTTTCTTTTTCTTTTTTTATGTGTTTATCATACTCTCGAGGACTGAACTTTATTCGATGTTCTGCATTGGCTAAATTTGAGTTTGCATGCTTTTTGAAGGAAAATAATTGGGGATTCAGTGTTTGTGTGTTCTGAAACGAATGTAATGTTATGAAATCGAGTTGCTTAATGACTGGATTTTCATGCCTTGATACATTTTTTTTGGGGAGTGGGTGGGGAATTTTTGGGTCTTTTAAGGATATTGGCCAATTGAATATGTCATTTTGGCATAGAACCTTGGGTTTTATTTACTCTTGATTTGGTGGTCGAGGATTGCTCTTGTTGGTTGATTCTTGATTATGTACGGATCATTTATAAAAAGAAAGGGGTATCTGTGTTCTTTTTCATGTAATTTGTGTAACTATTAGGTTAATCACTATGTTGCCTAAGTATTCTCCTTGGAAACAAGAGTTTGAACTTCCAAGAAGATGCCTGCTTTTTCCTATATGGATATATAATATGAATTTGATGTATTGAATGCAGTTGCAACTATATGTACCGACAATCCATCTCCTATATTTATAAATAAATATCCTTAAAAAAGATTATGATTCTTTCTGTTAATTAGTTCGTCATTCTCATATAATCAAACTGCTTATATTTAATTAAATTGTTCCTACGATCGTTTAGAGTTTGGATTAGGTATCATACTTAGTTGTTATTTGATGGTCATAACAAATATGTGCTTCTCAATTCCCTAAGATACTTGCTACCAGGCTTCCTAATTCTAAATTTTTAACCCTGTTCTGCTTCAAGCTGGTTTCCCCAGCTTTGAAACTATTATTCTGTTTTATGTTTTGTTCCCAAACCCTCAACCTTAATAAAGCATTGAACTCATTTGTGCATGTCAATCTTTTTGGCTGCTCGTTGCTTCAAGATTCTCAAGTCTTTCATGAATTTGCAGCCTTCTCTTACAAAATTAAACTGCAAAGAGAGAGATCCATTGGACTTCTCCATCACATTTCTCTAGATTATAGTAGTGTGCTAATATTACATAATTCATAAATCAATTCAATCATACATGTATCAATATGTGCTGTTTTGTTAGATATTATATCTTGTCGTCTCTTCGTTGCAAGCTTAAACTTGCTATATATATTGCATTTTTTATGCATTGGGAGTTGCTATTATCAATTCTTTACGTTCTGTTATTGCTGCAGCGTGGTATGTTAATGCTTGCAGAAATGGCAATTCAGACACCAGAACTCTCTGCCATGGTTGTGGCAAATGCCTTCGTGACACGGTATTATGCAATTCTTCGTCATTGTCCAGAAAATGTACATAAATTTTATCAGGAGTCAAGTGTACTAAGCTGGCCAGGGCCTGATGATGCAATATCACCGACTGCAACCTTGCAAGTAAGTAACTTAGAGAAGTGCTGCAGAGTGAAAACAATATACATCCCATACTTATTTTGAGTCGTGTAGAAGGAAAAAGTAAACATCATGTGCTGTATTCTTTTGAGATAGTCCACTTATACCAAAGTGTTGCCAAGCTTATATGTATGGAAGGCTGTTTTAAAAGACATCAGTATTAGTATAACTCCTTTTTTTTCTTTTTTTCATTCGTGGATCAATTTACCCAAAAACAATTGGAGCATTAGTTCTGTTTAGCAGTTTTTCCCCATTTCTGCTATATGCAATTGAATTTCTAGGTATTATCAGTGGTTTCAAGTACCGGTATCTGAATTATTTAACTAGGGGTGTCCAAAAGACCCGAACCGAATCGAGCGGTTCTTCATAAATTAAATACCCGAACGGGTACCCGAATCGAGAATCGATAGGTTTGGATCGGGTCTCGGGTCTAGACCAAGAACCGAAGAATCGAATAAGAACCGAAACTAAATAATTTTTTTATTTTTTATATTGAATTAATTAAATTATTTTATTTTTTTCTAAACAAATTAGTAAANATTTTATTTTTTTTAAAAACAAATTAGCAAATTAATTAAATAAATCAAATTATTTCATAATTTTAATTAGTAAAAGTTACGAATGAAATGTTATTAGTTGTATTTATGTAGTGTTGCTGTAAATATTAAAAAAAATTTAATTATGGTATGGAACCGAATGGAACCTGAACGGCTCCATAATTATATTTGGACCCAACGGTTCCATTTATTAAATACTCGAAAGTTTTGGATCGGTTCGGTTTTCTTCAGAACCGAACCGACCCATGGACAGCCCTATATTTAACTACTTCCTATGAATTATGCCGGCTGTTTAACCGACTCATGGACAGCCCTATATTTAACTGCTTCCTATGAATTATGCCGGCTGTTAAAATGTGTTTGGTGCAGTACCTGTTGTTTTATATTTCTTGGTGATAATTTTTCAATTGGCAAGCCACTTCAACTTGATAGCTTTGGGACTGTAGAGGGGGCCTTTATTTCCTTTAAATCGTATGTAATTCACTAGAAAGCATGGTACAAATTGCTTATTTCGGCTGTAGTTTCATGGAGAAACTAGGAACTAAATAACATCTACTTTTCGTTATTTCGTGTAGGGAATTAATGAAAAGATCATGTCTTCGGATTTTAAAGATTGGCCCATGGAGATAGAAAGTGTTGATGCACAAGAGTCTCTTGAGGGAGGGGTTATTGTTGTAGTGACTGGTTTGATTGAGAAGGATAATTTGAGAAAGAATTTTAGTCAAACATTCTTTTTGGCTGAACAGGAGAAAGGTTACTATGTCTTGAACGATATTTGTAAGTTTTTTGACGTCTGTGAATCAGTTTTCAATATTGCTATCCACGATGATGATGGAAACAATCCAGTTGCTCCTTTTACTAATGATCCAGGTAGGACCTTGCTCCCAGGTACATAAAGCGATGTATGAATTTTCACTTATTTTACATATGGTAGGGAGGAGTAAATGGTATCGGATAGTATTGAAGAAAAAAAAATAAGTTAGTATTTTATTTATTAA